TAGACACCTCTCACCACGAAATGAAACCTCCAGTAATAGAAATGGGCTGAATCTAATTGAGTTGTTAGTCAAAGGGGTCCCATAGAACCTTCCCAAACAACCCAGGTTATTGCCAAGGCTATGGTTGCTCTCTGCAAATCGATGGTAAGGCCCGATTGCTGAAGACAACACCTACATATCTCATTGAACATGGAGAAGTCAAGATGTTGCCTACCTAAAGCCTTCAACCATACTACTAGAGTTCATGGCACTGGAGAGTGCTCTGCGTGCTGCCAGAGGAGAAAGGTCAATACCCAAAGAGTTACAAACCCTTCAGTCTACAATGGTGACCGGCTGGCATCATATGCTTGTACAACAGTGGCACAAAGGTTGTAGGAGTAATAATTCACTATTGGATTTAAGGTCCACTCCATGAGATGTAACCCATCCCCAGCACTGCTCACGTGGCTAAGAATCGGATACTAGATTGGCCATGGACATAGGAGAAAACCAAATGCTATGATGACCAATAACTCATAACGAAGAATTCCATGCCTGGCACTGCAATTTTCTTTAGTAACCTGTATCTTCTGGGGACAGCATTGTCCACAAATGCAGGATACCTACCGCAGAGACACGTGTACATTGGCCTTGCAGCCCTATTCACAATGGCAAAACTGTGGAAGTGGCCCAGATGTCTACCAACAAATGATTGGCTAGTACATAATATGGTTTCATTCAATCACAAAGAGAGTAAAATTATGTCATTTCTAATAAGAGAGAGGGGGACACAGAGAGAGAGAGAGAGAATTGAACTAGTCAACTATCACTGTTAAGTGAAATAAGCCAGACTTATAAAGATAGATATATGCTTTCTCTTGTATGAGAAATCTTGTGTGTGTGCATGTATGTGTTTGTGTGCGTGTGGGTGAGCACAGGGACACTAGGGTGAAGGAAGGCAAGCAGTAAGAGGTGGAAGAGAACAAGACAGGGTAATGGAGGCTGAGTATGACCTAAGTACATGAAGTGCATGTAGGGAAATGTCACAATGAAATCCACTCTCTCGTACTGTGCTGAAGAAAGAACATAGATAACAACAAATCATCGAATCTGAGATAGGAGAGCTATGTAGTATCCCCAGGAGTCTGTCTAATCTTTTTCCATTGCCCTCCAGCCGGCTTTGGAGATTAGGCTGAGAGGGTGGGTAACTAACATTGATCACAGAGCCTTGTGACATCAGCACTTTCTACATGCCAAGAACTATTTCTTACTGAGCTTAATAATAAAAAAGATAGGATAATGCTGATCTCATTTATGGCTCAGAGAACAAAGTCCTTGTCCAATCCTCTGAACCAAAGACGGAGATAGCAAAAAGGAGATTAAGATTGGAAAAAGAAAGCAAAATATAACAAACAAAAATCAGAAATGCAAAACTAACAGCATGCCATTTTAAGAGAAGAATTCAAGGAAATTTGGAAAAAGCATCTTAACGGGGGATGTCCTGGTGGGACAAGAAAAGCCAGCAACACATCTCAACATAGAAAATTAATGTACCGATAAAGATGAGGCCCATGGCGTAAAAAGAAAAGGGGTATCTGGTGGAGAATGAGTCATAGACATGGTGTCTTTGTGCTGGAAGGAAGAAGTCAGCCTGAAACAATGAACAAGGGAAATTGAGAGAGATTGAAAGCCAAAATTATCAAGTACTGATAATACTAGCTGGGCAACAATGCAAGATACAGAAATCAAAGGGATCAAACTACCCCCATTTGCAGAACACATGATACTATACATTAGAGATCCCAAAAGTTCTACCATAAAATGTCTACAAATGACAAACTATCCTAAAATTAACATGAAACCACAAAGAACCCAGATAGCCAAAACAATCTGAACCAAAAAACAGTGCTAGAAGATTACAATTCCAGATCTTAAACTGTATTACAGAGCCACAGCAATAAAAATAATAGAGTAGTGGTACAAAAACTAGAAGTGGAGACTAATGGAACAAAATAAGGACCCAAATAGGAGCACACATAATTTGACAAAGATGCCAAAATGTAAGCTGGAGAAAAGAAAACATCTTCAACACATAGCTCTGGGAAAAGCAGAGACCCACCTGCTTCAGGATCTTCTGACTTTCAAAGTTTCCACTGTTATCCAATGAGTTGTCCTTTATATTGTGACTTGCAGTCTTTCTCTCACAGTTTTCAATACACTTTCTCTGTTATGTATACTTAATGTTTTAACTACAATATGCAATGGAAATTCTGTTTTCTGTTTTTTTCTATTTGAAGCTCTATGTGATTCTTGTATCTCTATGGGGTGTGTCTTTCTTTAGTTTGGGGAAGTTTTCTTCTACGATCTTGTTGAAGATCTGGCCTATGCCATTGACTTTGAATTCTCCTCCTTGTATTATTCAGGGTTCTCTAAAGGAACAGAACTTATGGAATGAACATACACACACACACACACACACACACACACACACACAGAGAGAGAGAGAGAGAGAGAGAGAGAGAGAGAGAGAGAGAGAGAGAGAGGCTTACAGTCTGTGATCCAGTTAGTCTAATAATGGTTGTCTACCAATGGAAGGTCCAAGAATCCAAAAAGACTGAATCCAGAATTCAGTCCAATAGGCTGGTTATCTCAGCTGGTCTTCAGAATATGTCAGAATCCTGAAGAAGTTTGGTCTAATGCCTGTGAAGGAATGGACCTGCCAGCAAGGAGGCAGAGTGAAAAGCTTCTTTCTTCAATGTCCTTTATATAGCCTATCACCAGATTAAAGATGGATCTTCCCACCTCGAAAGATCCAGATTAAGGGGCATCTCTTGGTTGAGCTAGAAACCGAGAACAATGGAAACTCCCAGGAATCTATGAGGGTGACCCTAGATAAGACAGCATCCGAGCCCATTCTTAGAGCTCCTTTGCTGTGCAGTCAGAGAAGGCCAAAAGAGGCTGGTGTACCAGCTGTGGCACCTAGGCTAGATCTGGCTGATTGAAGAAATGGCATGAACAGAGAGGTCAGGGGAGCTCATCAATTAGACTTTGGAGGAAAACACAGGAAGTCTGGGTACCATAGGGGATGGCTGGGTACCAGATGGGATGGCTGGAAGCTACACGGAAGAGACCTGTGTGTGGTTGCAGAACAATTGGAGGGTGGTCAGGTGACTCGGGTGTTGTCTTGCTCTTTACCATTCTGACTGGAGTAAGAAATCTCAAAGTGGTTTTAATTTTCATTTCTCTAATTAATAATGATATTGAACACTTTTAAGATCTTTCTTGGCCATTTTTTATTTTTTATTTTGAAAACTCTCTGGTCTGACAATTGCTCTTTAAAGATATAAAGAATTAAAAATCTAGATATAAAGAAAACAAATAATCAAATTTAAAAATAGGATAAAGATCTAAATAGAGAACTGTCAATAAAGGAAACTCAAATGGCTAAGAAAGACTTAAAGAAATGTTCAACATCCTTGGTCAGCAGGGAAATGCAAATCAAAACTATCTTGAGATTTTATCTTACACCTGTCACAATGGCTAAGATCAATAACAAGAGTGACAACTAATGCTGGTGAGAATATAGAAAAAGGGGAACACTCTTCCATTACTAATGGGAGTGCAAACTTGTACAGCCACTGTGGAAATCAATGAGGCAGGCAGTTCTTCAGGAAGATGTGAATAGATGGGGTGCTGGAACTGGATGATCAAGTGTGGAAGGAGAGGGGAGAGGGAAGTGAGGGAGGGGGTATGGGGAGAGACAGCTAAAATTAAGGGACATTTGAGGGGTAGTATGGGAACCTAATACAGTAGAAGCTTTCTAATATATACACATATGTGAAGGTGATCTAAATGAAATCACTAAATAATGGGACAGACAGTCACAACTGGCTATCACTTGTCACCAAATAAAACTTCAAGTACTGGGATTTGGCTACATTTAATTGAGTTGTTGGCCAAAGGGATCCCATGGGAATCCCCAACAATCCAGGCTGTTGCCAAGACATTAACTTGCTACCCACAAACTGACATCACAGCACCATTGCTGAAGACAACACCTACACAACTCACTGAACATGGAAAAGTTGAGTTGGTACATACTTAGAGCTTTCACCTCTACATTCTAGCATCTTTGGTACTCTGTAAGCTACCAAAAGAAAAAAACAAACACCAAGCCAGTCACAAATGCTTTGATCTATAGTGGTATTCTGACTGCAAGATATGCTAAGGCGGTGGTGCACAAAGATGTAGAAGTAACCAACCAATATCTTATTTGACAAATATCCACTCCACAAGATGCAAACCACACCCAACACTGCTTGGATGACCAAGAACCAGAGATTATATAGCCTAGGGATCTAGAGTAAACCCAAATACTACTGGTCTAAAAATAAAAGAAAAACTCAAACAAAAATATTCCTGACATTCTGTTATATTCCTAGCTCAGTGCTTTGCTCAGTCATTACCAGAGATGCTTCCTCCTGCAGCAAATGAGAATAAATACAGAGACCTTACAGGCAGATATTATGCAGAGAGTGAGAGACCTTGGAGCACTTAGCCCTAAATAGGATGTCTCCAGGAAATTCCTCCCCTCAGGGCTCAGTGCACCCTATGAAAGATGAAGTGAGGAGAGTGTAAGAGCCAGAGGGGTTAAGGATACCAAGGAAACAAAGCCTTCTAAACACAGCTGGGTTGGAAGGCCAATGAAGGCATGATCAAGTCCTGAAGACTCTTGCAGCCTCCAGCCTCTTCCTCACTCTGAACTGGAATAGGTTCTGCAAGTACAGAAATCGCTGTGCGGTGTTCTCAAAGTACAAGGGAGGTTGTCTGGGCTTGCTCTGATGTTGTGTCCTTGCAGAGTTCAAGGGAGCAGTACCAAGACCCCTACTGAGCAGAGACAATGAAGCTGACATTTACAGATAAGAAAGGTCACTGCCTTCCATACCTGTAGGCAAAGCCAGTCAGGAAATATATAAAGGAGAAGCTCAGCTCAGCTCTCAGCCAAGGCCCTTCCTGGCAAGATGAATCCTACCAGCTTCTTCCTCCTTACTTTGCTCCTGGTTCTGGTGACAGAACCAGCGGTGGGGAGACCCCGTGGTGAGTGGCAAGTTTGTTCTGTGGGAAAGGTATTTGAGGAAAATGTTCTCCAAGAGGTCCACCTGGCGTCTACAAAAGGCTATGTTCCTAGGGCTTCCGTTCCTGATGGAAATGGAGTCTTTTTTGAGTCTTACCCACAAGTTTCATGTGACTATCAGTGAAGGGGCAGTCAAAATGTCAGTAAGGAGGGCTGCAGGGGAATGTGGATCATCGGGTAATACAAACATCCTCGTTGTCAATTGTGAGGGGAGTTGAGAGGGCCATTTGACAAGTAGATCATTCCAATTTCTAACTGGACTGAAAGCTCAATGGCTTTGTAGGCAGCAAAACAGCAACAAGGTACATCTGAACACAGGTCCATAACCAGAGCTGAAGCTTGAGCTCTTGACAGTGTCCTGATGCCCAACTAATCCAGAATATACAGAAAGATGGGCAGAGAGAATTAGGCGTGTTTTTCTCTTCACAGAAAGATTTTCACAAACATCTGAAGACCAATCTTCTAGTGAAACCTCTGAAATAACTGCAACAGGGGGTAGCGGGGGATCAACCACTACCCACCATGAATACAGCCGGAGCGAGAGCTCATGGAGTTCCTTTAAACCAAAAAGTCCCCAAGGCAGCCTCACCGAGGAAGTCTATGAGGAACGGAAGTATAAACACACTGGTAACAGTGGTGCCGGTGACAAGATGAGCTTATCTGCAGGGGAACTAGAGCGGTCTTATACAGGGAGAAAGGAAAGGCAACGGTTTGCCCAAGAAATCGGTAAATGATATGGCTATGGACCAGCGGAAGACCTGGACCAATATGAAGGTAAGGTTATTGCTAGGTGAGGGAGACACCTTTCTCAGCCATGCATGAGTACTTCTTGGGCGATTAGGAGTCTGGTTCCCCACCGTGCACACCAAGAGAACTGTGGAGTATGAGCTTTGGGAAGGCGAGGGAAGCACCTGGCAGAGCAGAGAAAGATACCTGAGCTGGGACTGTGTCCTAAATTCCTTCCTTTAGTATGTTTTCAATATATTTCTTTTGTATAAACCACAGAGTAAACGAATTTGAATACGTACCACATGTACAAGCATACGTATCAGGTTGTAATACAAGCTTGTTAATTCTTAGAATTTTGTTTGGCATGAGTTCATTTTGTGCTTATCATGGAACAAAGTGTTACAGTATTGTACTCTTCCCATGTCCACACACCCTGTTAGGATGCATTTATCTCTTTCAAAGACTATGGGTCCGAGAATTAGCTTCGGTTTCCCTCTCAATAAAATAAAGAGATGTGTAAAAAAAAAAAAAAAAAAAAAAAAAAGAAAAAAAAAAAAAAAAAAAAAAAAAAAGAGGAGTCCCTATTTGTGACATACTAGAGTTGAAAAGCATCAGTAAATGACAGTAATAAGAACTACAGAAACATGGGTGCCTCCTTTACCCCTTACCCTTTACCCTTTACCCTTTACCCTTTACCCTTTACCCTTTACCCCCCACTGTCACACTTCAATGTTTGTACTATCTTCCTATAGGAGTCGCCTTGTCTGAATGAAGCCTATGATGTCTTCAGGACAGAGACTCCCATAAAGTCCCAGAGACAGTTCGTGGATTTCACTTACTTCTCGTACTTGGTTTTTGAGACTCCTAAACCTAACATGCATTAAAATACTTTCTTTCCAATAAAAAGACAACATTCTGCATCATTTAAGTTTTGGCTCTTGAAATTCCTTGATTCTGCTATATATGGGCCAGGTGGGATTCCTGGAATTAACAGTTTCACCATTACCTTTGAGCTTATGAACAAATTGGGAGCATGGGGGAGGGGGGAGGGAGGGAGGGAGGAGAAGGAGGAGGGGAAAAGAGGAGGGGGAGGGGAACATAAGGGATCGGGAAGATTGAGTCGGGGATGAATAGAGAAGAGCAAGAGAAGAGATAGCTTAATAGAGGAGCCATTATAGGTTTAAAGAGAAATCTGGCACCAGGGAAATGTCCAGAGATCTACAAGGATGACACCAACTAACAGTCTAAGCAATAGTGGAGAGGCTACCTGAAATGCCCTTCCCTATATTGAGAATGATGACTACCTTATATGCCATCCCACAGCCTTTATCCAGTGGCTGATGGAAACAGAAACAGAGATCTACAGCTAAGCACTGAGCAGAACTCCTGGAATCCAGTTGCAGAGAGGGAGGAGTGATGAGCAAAGGGGTCAAGACCATGCTGGGGAAACCCACAGAAATAGCTGACCTGAGCTCATGGATCCCAGTCTGACAGCTGGGGAACCATCATAGGACCGACCTAGACCCCCTGAACGTGGGTGTCAGTTGGGGGGCCTGGGCAGTCTATAGGGCCTCTGGCAGTGGAACCAGTATTTATCCCTAGGGTAGGAATGAACTTCAGGAGTCCATTCCCCATGGTGGGATACTCTCTTAGCCTAGCAGGGCCTAGGCCCTCCCTCAAATAACTTGACAGACTTTGATGATTCCCTCATGGAAGGCCTCATCCTCTCTGGGGAGTGGATGGGAGATAGGATGGGGGGTCAGTGGGGGGTCATAGGAAGATGGAGGGAGTGAGAACTGGGATTGGTATGCAAAATAAGATTGTTTCTAATTTAAATAAAATTTATAGAAAAAAAGAACTTTGCAGATGAATTTGGTATCCAAATGCAACAATACTCCTGGAGGACCTGTTGAACTTCTGAGTGAAAACCACATTAGTAAGTTTTTGCCAGCTTGACACAATCCAGAACAGTGGTTCTCAACCTTCCTAATGCTGTGACCCTTTAATACAGTTCTTCATGTTGTGGTGACCCCCAACCATAAAATTAGTTTTGCTGCTACTTTATAACTGGAATTTTGCTACTGTTGTGAATTATAATGTAAATGTTTGATATGCAGGATACCTGATATGCAAGCTCTCATTTGACACCCCACCCCAAAGAGGTTGTAACCCACCAGTTGGGAACCAGGGAGCAGAGAATCTCAATTGAAGAATTATCTCCTTCAGAAGGCCTGGGGGCATGTCTGCAGACATTTCCTTAATTGTTAACTAAGAAGTCCCAACCCACTGAGAACAGCAATATCTCTCAGCTGGCAGGCCTGTGCTTTTTAAGAAAGCAAGCTGAAAAAGCATTCTCAGGGGAAGCAAACCAGCCAGGCTTCCTCCGAGGTCTCTGCTTCAGTCCTGCCTTCAGGTTCCCACCTTGAGTGTGTGCCTTGGCTTCCCTACTGATGGACTCTAACTGTAAGCCAAATAAACCCTTTCTTCCCCAAGTTGAAACAAACAAACAAACAAAAAAACCGTTCCACAATGAAAGGAAGTGACCTTCTTGTGTCATGGTTGTGCACAGTATTCATAAACACTTCCTAAATTCTGAAAGCCCTGAAATTCTGCCGGTCACTGTATGGACCACAGACTCTAAATTAAATCTCCTCTTGACCCTCTTCCTAGTGGGACTTCAAACTGGCCACCTAGGAAATGTCAGATGTCATGTATTCCAATAGACCATGGTAAATTTCTGATGTACTGGTGCCAACAGTCCCACCAGTCCACAGAAGCACATGCTTCCACTTGGTTCAACTATCCTGTTCATGGTAGATATCCCTTTGGGTTCAATGCCCTCAAGTGTGACACAGGCAGTATCTGCATCTTATACAAAGAGAGTGTGCTGAACAATGCCATCTATGGAGACGCACGCCAGAGGACCAAGTGCAAATCCCGATGCACACACACCTGTCTTTGAATATTTAATGAGGCTCCAGGGGATAAATAATTATTCAAAAGTAAGAACATCACAGCCCGATGGATGAGGAGTTTGGTTTCCACATGTGCCACAGGAACACACTTATCTTCAAACAAATCTGTCCTTACTTTCTTTAAAATTAAATCTCCAGGGTCTACATGGGTTTAGTGTTAGTATATTAATTTCAAACCTCATTACAGCATCATGGATAAATAGACAGAGGCCAGGACACTTCTGTGATTCAGCAGACAAACATCACTGGCAGGTTCTTAATCAAGGACATGTTTGATCTTTGTGGAGAGAGGAGAGTGATTCTGGCTGTGAGTAAATGGCTGATGGCCGATGGCCTGTGACATCGTGAGAACAGGGCCTCATGCCCAGAGGCCCAGAGGTCAAAGCCACTGCACTGTGACTCCGGGATTGTAGCCATCTCTATATTTGCACAGCCCTCATAGCTAGTAGTGAAGAGGTTTGGGCTATCACGTAGGTGAACCCAGCAAACAGAAAACTGAAAACAACACTCTTCTGCAGTTTCTGGCAGAAGTTTGAAATCGAGACATGTTTGTGTCATGAGCACATATTTTCCAATGCCTCCCATTGGAATGGGCACTTGTCCTGCATCTGTTCACAGGTGTGCTCTGGAAATACATTGTGTTCTGTGGTGTCACAGTTGCTAAATGGAGGGTACTCTTCTACAGAACTGAAATATCTAGAGAACATATTGATTTAAAGTGGGTGATAGGCTGTGTTGGGTGGTGCACGCCTTTAATCCCAGCACTCAGGAGGCAGAGGCAGGTGGATCTTTGTGAGTTCAAGACCAGCCTGTCTACAAGAGCTAGTTCCAGGATAGCCTCCAAAGCCACAGAGAAACCTTGTCTCGAAAAAATCATAAATAAATAAATAAATAAATAAATAAATAAATAAATAAATAAAATAAAGTGGGTGATAGTTGAAATTTCAATGTGGGGAGGCTTGGGAGAAACTTTGGATAATTTTGGAATAGGCAAAACATGTTTTGCTTTAGGGATAATACGTAATAGCTTCAGGAAGAGGGCAGGCAGTTACAGATTGAATTAAATTTCTTTAAGAATAGATATGTTTATGCCTGTAGCGCACAGTGTGGAAATATGTAGGAAATATAGTCACTCCCACCCAAACCCCACCACAACTCTTCAGTTTCCCAACATCTTCCTCTCAAATTCATTATTTCTCCTCCTCCTCCTCCTCCTCCTCCTCCTCATCTTCTTCTTCATCAGCAACATCACTGTCCTGCTTCTCATCAACACACTGAGTCCCATTAGGCCTTCTGTGTGTATGGGCAGGTAGGACATCAGGCCCTGGAGAATGACCAACCTATTATAGGCAACACTGCTGAAGAGAACTGACTTTGCTTCCAACAGCAGCCGTCAACTGCCAATGTCTCCTCGACTAGTTCATGAGCCCCTCCCCTCTCTTGCTGGAGTGTTTACTGGAGTGATCCCATGCAGGTCTTCTGTTGGCAAGCACAGCTATCATGAATCCATGAAGTCTCTGGTACTGCCGTGTCCAGAAGGCATTATTCTGTAGCACTCTTCCAAGACCTTAGTTTTTACAATCTTTCCACCCGCTCTCCAGTGATGTTCCCTGAAAGCAAGGGATGTGAGTGAGGGGAACATTTATGCCCTGGTTACCCACAAGGAACATTCTCCCTGTAATCTATTCCGCACTAACGCTTCCCTCTGCTTCTAGTGCAAGGCTGTAGCCACCAGCTGCCTATGTAATCTTTTGTTGTGCACATGCACTGTATTCTTTCCCAAGGGTCAGCTTGTGCTCTCTGACATGTAGTCTACATCTAGAAATTCTTAAGGTGTTTCTACTTCTGTATTTAGTGTTTGTTTGCAGGCTCACAAAGTAATTCAGACCTTTCTACCAGCAGTCTGAAATTCACTGGTTATTTGCTACTGGAATATGACATTCACATGCACATTTACCTATGTGTTTGTGAATACTGAGGACCTAATTTTACTGCTAGTTCTACTGGATGTTTACCCTGAGTGGGCTTAG